AAGCTCCACAGTTCGCAAAATGGATGAAGTTTTGAAAATACAAACTTTAATATATAAAAATGAAGGTGCCATATGGATTTAAACCTTTACATGGTGAAAATGTCTCAAAAGTTGATCAAGGTAGTTTGGGCGAGCTTTGAACGGACATGTGAATAAGTTATGTGTCTTTTATCCTAGATTTTCATAAATGTTTTAAATAGCTAAGAAAACCATCATAAAGACTGTACGATCCTAATATATAAAGAGGTCGACCTATCTAAAATACTCATGTAGTTTAAAGTATTCTGACACACTAAATTTTCATGAATGTTTTTAGTTAGCTAAGTTACTCTAGAGATGCCACCATCCCTAACATTCATGTAGGTAAATTTATCTAGAATGACTCTAGAGATGACACCATCCCTAACATTCATGTAAGTCAATTTATCTAGAATGCTCGTGTAACTAAATATTCCATGAAGATAAATAATGGCAACAAAAAGGTATTTAAACAAAAGGTAATGATTCTAAAAGAGAATGTAAATTGTCCTTTAAGTCGACATTTGCAATAAAAGATATATTAATAAAACATTTCATTTTCTAATTGAAAGGAAGCAATCTCAAAAATCAACCTTAATAAATTCAAAAGAAAAAATAACTATCTAAAAGATATTTGTCTTTGTCCTTCGCCGTATCTTTGCTCCATCCTCAAATTTGATATCAACAAAGGTTATCGAACAACTCCAAGTCTCCAACATAACAAATTCCATAGCAAAAATTTCAAAACGATGACATTGGGCCACTGCAAATTCGATTTAACGTCCTAAGATTGTTGATGAGATATTGTTAAGTATCACAATGAAGTCCTAAAGTTAGTACAAGAACGTAGTAGAGGAAGAAGTTGGTAGATGTAGAAATCTCAAACTACATCAGATCCGACTGAAGGCATATTATATTGCATTTTTTAAGACGTTATTTTTCCTACAAATACAGTGATATACTTAACACAAATACACTTTCCAAATATAATGAAAACGAATATTATATATGTTATGCATCAACAAAGACAACCTGAACTCCAAAGACTTATAGATCTATATATTCAAGATCTATGCTCTTATCCCCCAAAATAATAAAGTATAAACAATTTTTTGTAGGAAATTGATGCAAATGATGAATTTAATATGGTGGAAAATTTAAAGGAATATGTGAACATTAATTTGGCACATCTCAACTCTCAATCAAATGAAAATTATACAGGATTCTGCTATATATGTACATCAGTGATTATATAATGTGTTACATAATGTCACATAGTACTCAACCATTTGTTAATTTAAGCCCATGTTTGGCTCCCATTTTTGGTAATGAAAATGGGGGGAATAGTGTTTTGTAGAAAAAATGAGTGGTTGAAAAAGAAGAATTTTTTTTTTATTTACGTGTAATATTATTTTATGGAAGATTGTGTGGTTGAAAATAGAAGAGAGAAAAATAGAATGTAATGGAATGTAATTTAATGGGGATCAAACATGGGCTAAAATACAATCAAATTTTTCATTCAATCTTTTTCCTCCACATTATATTATATAGGGTCTGTTCAATAGTGATTATGAGAATCTAATTTTTTTTATCGTTAAAGAGAAAAGTGGGTCACACAATGAATGAAAAAGTAAAAAATGAAGGCTGGAATAGTGAAATAAAAGTCAAAAAAATTATTTTTTGGATGAAAATTGCTATCAAATGGGACTATGTAATCTCTTATGTATAATTTTGATGTATAAATAGCAAAATTCAATTATATATAGGGTTGAACATTTCTTTAAATCTTTTGAAATAAATACAAAAGGAAAAATTGGATCAAATCAAATTTTGGTCCTATTCGATAGAAATTTTGAGAATCAATTTTTTGACCATTGGATCAATCTTTAAGTAAAGATGTAAAAAGTGATGACTAATTTACGAAAGTAACAATAAAAAAAAATTGATATCAGGACCAAGCAATAGGCTTTATTTGTTCGGTTCAGTGATAGCGATCATACCCCTGACATAGTGACATAACGCCTCCAAAATATCGCAGCAGAACCTTTATATTCTCTCACTAAAAGATCTCCTCTCTGTCTCTCACGCACTCTTCTTTTCGCTCTCACTAGTCTCAGCCTAAACCCTAATTCTCTCTCTCCTTTCTCTATATATTCTCGAGCATATACAGAGGCAGCACAAATCATATTTCATATTTGTTTATAATTTGAGCCAATGGATGTTTTAGCAGGGCAGAATAAGCAGAAAGAGCAAGACTTTTTGGTGGCTTCAATTTCGCAGCTTTCGATTTTGAACAGTACTTCACCGCGGGTGGTTGCAAAATTCCACTACGATTCTGGAGTTGCGGAGCTCCGTTTCGACCCGGAATCCGACCCGAATGGCTCTGTTCACTTCGATCTCCACACTTCTCGGGTCAGCATGACTGCTTATTTTTGTGTATTTTAATTTGTGGTTTTTGGTTATATTACATTTGATTTTTGGGTTTTAGTTTGGTTTGAACTTCGTGAAGAAAAATGTAGTACAAGATGAGGAGTCTCTAAATAAATTTTGTACGGTCATCTGTGATGTTTTTAACGTAGCATTTTGTATTTTATTTATTGTTTTTGATGATTTCTTTTTTTTTTTTTTTTTGTGGATTAAAATGGGTATGTTATTGATGATTTATTAGAGCATCTCCAACCAATCCTCATTGCACTATAATTCACCAAATTGCACCAAATTTTTGATGCAAATCTCCTCCAACCCATTGCACCATTATGCACTAAAATGGTTAAATACCTTTTTACCCTTCTCTTCCAACTTGCACCAATCTTTGCTAAGGGTATATTTGTCAATTTCGTCAAAAAATAAATTTTAATTCTAAATTTAATTGTATTATTATTACTGTTGTCGCCGCCGCTGTAGCAGCATTATTGTTGCTGCTGCTGTAATCAATTTTAATCATTTAATCAATAATAATTAATTGTGAATACTATTTCAACTTTGTAATATCATGATATTGCCATTCAAAAATGTATTACACTCTTTTTTTAATATTATGATTTAATAATTTCTTAATTGTTGTATTTCTATTAATTGTATTTTTTTAAATTTATCAATGAATTCAATATTTTTGTTAATTAAATGTAATTATTTATTTAATAATTTATGTAGTACAAAAATAAATAAATAAATAATTTTTGAAATAAATAAATTGTTAAGAATTAAAAAATGAAGAAAATTATTGAACTATATTTATTTAATACAACTTTTGGTGTAATGGGTTGGAGGTAATTTTCAATTTGGTGCAAAATGGTGCAGGGTTGGAGATGACCTAAGTCTTTTAATTCAATATAGAGGATCTGATTCATTTTTTGCTGTTCCTGAATAAAAGATATAGAAGAGAGTGAAAATTTCTCTTTTGGGAAGAATTATTATGCTGTTTAATTTATAAATAGATAAAAATTAGTGGTAGTACGTTCATTGAGATGCGTGGTTGAAAATAAATGATTTATAAATTTTGTCAAAACTGCTGGCATTCATAGGAGGAATAGCCTTTTATTATCGGCTTTTTTTGAAGCCTATTTTGATAGGATTCTATCGCATAAATCCAATCAAGTAGAATCTTATTTTGTTACAACGAAAATAAAATTAAAAAAAGAAGAAGATACAAAATCAATAACGATACGGAGATTTTGTTTCTTACATTAGAAGCTTGTAAAGGGAACCTAGTATTACTATGTTAAAATATTTTAAAGTTGAACATATCTAATATTGGAAAATAATTGAAGTCAAATTTTAACAAGGATTAAAAAATTCCCTTGCAATTCTCTGGAAAAGAAGTCGTAATTTATCTTTTCTAAATGGGGGAAAATAGTACTTCAAGTTTAAAGAATTATTTAAATTGAGTTATGCCCTGTGTGTGTCTCTCTCTCTCTCCCTCTTAGGGGATTTAGATACCCTTTTTCTAAATATTAATCTTTTCACTGGTTTTCGATAAAAATAACAGGTTATATGAAATACTTTTTGAGTACTTATATGAGTTCTTTTATTGTTCATTTTGGGACGAGTTGTCATGATTCATTTTATTCCTGTCCAGCTTTTCAAGTTAAGTCCACTTCAATCAGTATGTATATCTGAAGCTTCTGAAATGGATAAAGAGGTATGATATTTATTGCATTACTTTATAGCCCATGTCATGCTCAGTTTGCTATCTAGTACTATATGATTAATTGAAGCCACTTGGAGCTTAAAAGTTGATTTGTTTTACCTGGACCGTATCCCTTAGCCCACTTTCTAATAGTACCGTAGCATGAGAGCCCCTTGGATGCAGTTTAAAATCCTCCTTTTCTTATATTGAAACTGTGTCCTGCTTTGGAATTGTGGGTTTTTCCACTTTTATGTTGTTTATAGCGATTAGAATATATGTGAAACAATTGCAAGTTGCAACTGAAAAAAGAATCAATTTTCTATTTATGGCCGTGTTATACCATGAAAATAAGATGTTATGGTGCTGAATCTTTTGCTGTTGAATCAGAAAAGCTATTCCAGGGGAATCTCCATTCAATTTATAAATGAGGAGGAAAGTGGGAACTTCCATTGTGCATTTGAGCAATGGAAGAAGGAAGTGGTCGTTCAAGGTTGGTTTGATATCTTTGTTGATGTATCATGACTAGTATAGTT